TGATCGGAACAAGATTCTCACAAACACTAAGGTGTAAGAACCAAGGAAACAAACAAGTCCATTAGCCTTACAAATGATTGAACTCCAGCCCCTTTACTTCCAATAATGGCATTCCCCTTTCTTCTGATTCCTTGACTCCAGTACCTACCTGCCTCCCCCACCCCCTGCCCCCGCGCCCCCAACCTCCTCTCCTTTCATAAAACATCTCTGGACTATAAAACAGGAGTTACTGTTGCTGCCTTTAAGAACTGGGGCTGAAGTTGGGGATGTGGATCAGTGATATAGTTTTTTCAGTGATAACAGCCCTCCCTCCCTCTCTCTCATTTTGGTATTGGGGCTTGAACTTAGGGCCTGGTTCTCCCACATGGCTTCTTGCTCCTAGTCTGATACTTTCTCACTTGAATCACATCTCCACTTCTGGCTCTTTGCTGGTTAATTGGAAAGAAGAATCTTGTGTGCTTTTCTGTCCAGTGGCTTTGAACTGCACTTCTTAGATCCTAACCTCCAGATAGCTACATTACAGGTATGAACCACCACCACCTGGCTTGGAAGGCCCTTTCTAAGGAAGGGCTGAAGAGAGATTTTAGGAAAACATGGATGTGTTTTTGCAATCCAAAGGACCACCTAGAGGTGGTCATTCATTAGAATTCACGACAATTTAAAGATCATGAAATAAATGCAGAAAACTGCTTTAGGAAAGCATTAAAAAAAAAAAAGATACAAAGGTGGTATTAATGATGGATTTTCTCGAACCTTCAGTAATAGGTAAAATGTCTGCAGACAAGCCAGCCTCTTAATTGCCAGTACAATTCACAATGCCTAAGAATCTACAAGACAGCTTTTTGTAGCCCATCGTCAAAGTGTCAATGGTGATTATTGCCAATATAGTTACACAAATGCCAATTGTAGGGCAGCTGTTTTCTTTCATGGGTCCTAGAGAGAACTCATGGCTGTATTCCTTATTTCCTTATTGTGACCCTACGACTCCATTATACAGACTTTCTTTTACCTAATAAAATCAGACATGCGTTTGGAGAAGAACTGTGCAGAATGATGTACAAAATGCATATTTGTGTAAATCCCCAGGACACACACACTCTTTCTCTCTCTCTTTTTTTTAGAGTCAGGTCAAATCCCCCAGAGATCAAGTGAGTGCAGTTATGTTTTCTTTTACTTGCCCTGATTCCCTGCTGAGTAGCTTGCTAGCTGGCGGCATGCTAAGACTGTCATTTGTAAAAAGCAGTCCGCTCAGCTATAATTACTAATTTGATGTCACACTGGAATTGCTGTGCAGCTGTGAAAAGATCGACCACCAGGGAGATTCGCATTTCTCTGTCTCATTTAGAGAAGCCGAAACTGCTGGAGCCATGAATGGAAGATGCCCTTCCATTAAAAAAGCAAAGAATTAAGGAATAAAACAAGTCATAGCAGCTGTCAGCATTTGACAATGGTTTAAAAAAAAAAAAAAAAAGGAAAGCACTCTTCTGCTCTTTTTTTAAAAAAAAAATTTCAAGACATCTGTACATGCATGTTCTGATACTTGTTGCCATGAAAGCGATTCCATTATTGTTAGGATATTATGCTAATGCAAATCATGCTAATTATGTGTCAAGAATGAAATCTGGGGGATGGGACCTGTCTGCACCTATATCACTAAATATTTGAAATGACAGTTTCAAAACTTGTCATCAACAAGTTAAATGTATGGAGAATTAAATAATGGCTCCAATAAAAGAAAATCAAAGAAGAGAAAGCATGGAGGTGAATAGTTAAGCCGTGTCAGTGGCAATTCTTCCTGAAATGTGTCTTACACTGTGATTGAAATGGAAATACTTTTCTTGCACATCACTTGCCTTATTTCTAAAAGGCTAAAATGGAGGAGGATGAGTATTTTTAGTGTTCTCCAAGCATTTCAAAGTAGAGGTAGCAGTCATCCTTCTGATAGCATTTATAGCTTTCTTTGTGGAGACAAAGAATGCTCCGCTCTTTTGGAAGAGTCAAAACTGGTCATGAAAAAGTTGGCAGGAAAAGGAAAGCAAAGAAACCTGGTAGCTTAAAACTCAATGTGTTTCAAGAGCTCTGCTTCATGAATCCAATTTATTTAATCTATTCCAGTTTATAAGTGTTTACAGATGATACACAAGCTCTCCTGCAGGAGAGAGCAGATATTACATCCTCTCTTCATTGACAATCAGTTTTTTTTTTTTTTATTACTTATACATTTCATACCTGATAGTTATTTTCGCCCCCTTCACAGGGGTGGCTTTTAGCTCTTCTAAAAGATGAGCTTTCAAAAATCTCCAAGTCCTCAGGTAAGAACCAAGCCCTCCCTTACGGTAGCAGTGATGACAATTTTAATGTTTTCACAGTGTAATACACAGAGGCAAAGACTGTGTGTACGAAATGTGCCCAAAACATACCCTTGAAATGTAGAAAATGCTCAGACAGCTCAAATGGAAGAAATACAAATGGGTCATTTTGCCCACATGGTATGAAACGAAATAGTTTAATTGCTTTTTAAAAACTCAACACAGCATTTCTGTGACTGTAGTAAATGTTTCCTCATTTTCATGATTAATGAATTGAGATGATTAAAAAAAAAAACTTGTTCTTGTTTTTGAGACAAGATTGTGCTAAGGCCTAGAACCTAGCCTCAAATTCAGGATCTTCCTGTCTCCACCTCCTGAGTGCTGAACTTACAGGAATGTACTACCATCCAAGCCTCAATATGAACTTTTTATATGTCCTTAAAAGAAAGTAGAAAGGGAGTAGGAAAGAAAAGGAGGACGTGGGAGGGAGAAGGAGCACCAAGCATCTGGAAGGCAGTACAGCACAGTGGTTAGAAATGAAGCCTCTGGTGCTGGAGCACCTGGCTTTGACCTTTAGCCCTATCATCTCCTAACTCTGGGACTGTAGACAAGTTACTGATCCATCTGTGAAAGAACTCCATCTACACAAAGGAAGTAACCATTGCCTCCATATCCTCTGATGGTTTTAAGTGCTATGTGTCCACAGTCACAGACAATTGAAGAGTGTCTGGCATATAGTTTGTGCTCAACAAATGTCAGTTATTATTACCTAGCTTGATAGTTCCCAGCACATTCACACTAACGATACATAAAACCCAGGTCAAGGTAAGGTTTTCTCCTCTGCCACCAGCTCTGTGAGGCTTCTGGGAAAACTGCAGCTGAATTCAGTGGGAAGGCAGTCCTGTTAGATGTGGGAGAAAGCAGCTTCACAGACTTCAGGAGAGTGTCCGTTTAAACAAATTCTATACTTGTATCTTACAGAAACCTATATCAAAGTAGAGCATGTACAAGAGCTGAATGTGTTTGGCAAGGACGGCAGTGGAACTATTAAGGGAGGGAGGGGTTAAGAGGGTTTGTTCTAGAAAGCAGGTGATGCTATGGATGGATCACCCATAGGATGAACTGTGCCTACTGCTTCAAAAGACACATCGCAGCTACAGCTTGTCGATGCATTTGTGAGTAGCACTCTTACACATCCTTGTTTGACCATTCAGGCTCTGACAGCCAGCAAGCCAATAGTCACAACTGTCACTGGAGTGTGGATTAAACCTGAAGAAATCCAAACCAAGTGAGGAAAAGGATGTTGCTGGCAGTAGTCCAATGAGAAACAAAGAACAAAACAGCAATCAAGTGGAGTAGGTGCATCTATCTCCCTACTGGGTCTCACTGTAGGACTGTGGAGGAGCGCACATGAGGCTCTTTAAAGATATTTTCTCATGGGAAGAAAAGTTTACTGGAAATGGGCAGTCATTGTCACTGCTTCTCAGGGCTAATGCTGGAATGTCAGGTGGCTTACACAGAGGCTGAAGTGTAAAAATATACATTCGCTACTACACGGTCAAAAAAAAAGGAACTGTTTTGTTCAGTGGCAACTCCTTTGTACAACTGCTTGAAGATAATAATGAAATGTATAGTCCGAAGCTGAAAGACGAAACACACACACACACACACACACACACACACACACACACACACACACACACACACACACACACACACCCCACACACACCCCACACACACCCCACACACACGGTCAGAGAAAGACTTGTGGTTTCTTTTTTCTCCTCTTTCTTTACCCAACCCCATATGGCTTCGGTCCTCCTTGTCCTCAGGGACCAGGTCCCCAGGGATTTCCCTGTTGTTCACTCCACAGGACAATAGTCCTCAGCCTACTTGGCCTTGAGGCAGTACTGGCTCTTGGAAAGCTCTCTTCCTCTGGTGTCTAGCATGGGTGTCCACGAGGCTCTACAGACAGTGTTGGTTTTGTTCCCCAGGTGTTTCCTACAATGCTTGGCAAAATGCTCCCTTTCTGTGGATGTCCCAAGAAGTATTGGAGCAAAGAGTCCAGATTGTCATGCTCAGCACTTAGCTCTGGCTAACCTGCTGCAGGACACTGTCTGACCTCTCCTCCCACAGTGACACTCTTCCGATCTGTGCTGCTGGACATGCTTCTCCGCTTTCTCCCTGGGTCACATCATACACTGCTCTGCCTGCTGATCATCATTCTAGAAGGTGTGTGTGTGTGTGTGTGTGTTGGGGGGTGATGTCTAAACATATTTTTTCCAGAACCCTCTGTGTTCAACAACTGATGTCTCCAGGACACATCTGTCACCACGCTGGTGTGGTCACACCTGCATCCCAAACTACTCTTTCCATTGTTTCCTATGTCACTGAGTGCAATGAACCCCTAGCCAACGGCCCAAGAAATGTAGCTATCATCCAGAACCTTCCATCTACACGCCCTGGCTCTAGTGACTTCCTGATCCCATCTCTGAGTTCTGTCCATTCTCCTCCTCAAGTCTCTTTGTATCTATTCACATTCTCCAGCCATGTCAGCAATCTGAGGCAGGGAACTGAAAGACATTCCTTGGCTCAAAAATGCCCTTCTCACTGGGGCCAGTGATAGAGCAAGGAAAAGTCACCGTACTGTGCCAGCCTAGAGTTCAATGAGGGCATGCCAGGGTGCTTACCTTTTCTTTGTCACTAGCTTCTCTAGCCACTGTCGAGCCCTGAAATGCAAAGAAATCGTAATTTAAAAAAAAATACACACACAAATGCCATTGTTTATCATATGTCTGGTTGAACAGACTGCACTCACTTGTCCTGTCTTTGGCCAATTTCTAGCCATCTGCTAGAAATCAGAAAACTTGGCACCACTTGAGTAATAAGCTTACTAATCCTGAATCAAAATTACATCAGTTGCCAGAACCGGGGTGGGGGGGGGGGGGAAGCGAGTCATAGCTGGCTGTGGGGATCAAATGTCCCTTTCTTCATGTCATCTCTCCAGATGTGAGCCTGCCCCGGTCCTTAGACTGTGCCTTCTCTCTACCCCTGTCTCTCTCCTCCCTGTGAGACGTAGTGAGGGCAGTTTCTCCTCTGATACTCTAGGCAAGTCCCCTGTGAGCACTTTCTGACCCCCTTTACTTCGGAGACTCCTTCAAAGACACGCACGGACCTGCACCTCTTTTGTGCCAAGCCCTATGCTGAGCACAGAGAAAACACAGCCCTTGATCTCAGCAGGGTGCCATCTACTGCAGAGGTTTTCAAAACCAACCTCATTCTGGTTGTGCAAGACAAGTCTACCTCCAATGCTGAAAGGGAGGTAGAGGAGACTCTCGTTTCAAGCAGAGAAAATTTCCTTTGTGGGGAGGATTTTATTTTACTTTTATCAAATGAGCTGTAAGTAGCTGTACAAAGGGGTTTCAATCCCACGCGTCAGTTTATGAGTATAATGCATCTTGATCAACACCTCTATCATTCTCCATCTCTCCCAAGCCCATTCTTCCCCTCAAGTTACCTGGCTCCATTTTCACATATGTACATTGAATATTATGATTATATTTGCCTTACTCTTCCTCTCTCCATTTGTCTGTCTTTCCCTCAACCATCTCCCCCCCTCCTACACCTCGATAACACACCTTCTTGATATTTATTTTGTTAAACTTTAAGTTAGTTATTCAGAAGAGTTACATCATTGGAATCCTCCCCTGCATCTCCCATACTTTAGTTAATATATTTGTGCCTCTATGCAATGAACCTGTGTATGGGTTTTATTTTTTTTTGTCAGTTGTGGGACTTGAATTCAGGGCCTGGGCTTTTCATTCAAGTTTAGCATTCTACCACTTTGAGCCACAGCACCACTTCTGGTTTTCTAGCGGTTAACTGGAGACAAGGGTTTCACAGACTTTCCTGTCTGTGATTCCCAGATCTCAGCCTCCTGAGCAGGTAGGATTACAGGCATGAGCCACCGGAGCTTGGCTCTATATGTTTTCATACATGTTCATAATTTAGATCTAACTTTTTGTGGAAGATTTTAATTCAAAAGAAACAGTGGAAAACAAATTGGTCCAGAAGATTCTGAAATATGTTAATATAACAGTCATTGTTTATTCTTTATGCTCCAGCACAAAGTCATATCCCCAGCAGATCCTTGGTATGTACCAAAGTGCTTGGAAAAGGATCACAGCCCAGTTCCTAGTCCCCCTGCCCCAGCAGAGGGAGGAGGTCTGAGCTACGCTGAAGCCAGTGAAGGTAGGTATTTGTTAACCTGGCCACCTCTCAAAGACACAACTACTTAAATCAGCCAATCCTTAAGGCACTTAAGATTTGACTTGGAAATGAAAATGGAAGTAGATCCTAGCATAGCCAATTGCAGAGAGCCACGTTTTCACACCATTGTCAGTATTCACTAAGCAGCTGTGGTATTAGTAAAGATCCATATGGCTCAACATGCACAGATACCAAAACATCAGCCTCAAGAATCTTCTCATATTAGAGAAACGTACAAGAGAAGGGTAGAATCCCAAAGTTCTCCCCATCCCTTGTGCTTGGGGGTATGGGGAGGGGTATGTGGGGGTCCTGGTGGCCCAGTGAACATGCTCAGAATTTCCTGGGAACAAGCCCAAGGAGCCCAAAGCTGACCCACCATATGAAGATAGCAGCCACTCCAAGGCAAGGGGCCACTTTGCTCCTTTCTGGGATTCCTGAATGTTGACCACGAATGCCTTTCTTTATGCAGTGATTACTAACAATATCCCCAAAGTTAGGAGGGGAAAAAAAGGGTGATGGGACCCATTTGATACATTTGATCACTGTGCTGCTGTTTTGTGTGTTTTCCTTTTTTAATAAAAGCCACCCTATCACTGGTTCTCAGGAACGTTTCAAATCAATGTAAATGTAGATCACTTGCCTAGAGTAAAAACAAAAGAGACTTACCCAAGTTTACATTAATGTAAAATGAAAAAATTACAATAAACATAGAAAAGTAAGATTACTTAAAGCTAGGAATTAGAGCCACGAAATGAGGCCAAGTATATGTCTCAACGAAAGCTTTGGCAAGAACATAGTCAATTATTATTATTTAAACCTACAAGCTAAAAAGGGAGATGAAATTATAAAATGCAAGGCAAATTAAAACAATAACTTCTAATCTGCAAGTACAGTTTACATCTAAATAGTTTTTTGGGGGGTGGTGTTGTACTGGGGCTTAGAATCAGTGTCATCTGCTCTGGCTTAGCTGGTGCTTTACCATTTGAGTCACATCTCCACTTGTGGTTTTTGATAACTGCAGATAAAGAGTTTCTTGGATTGGTCTACCTGGGCTGGCTTTGAACCATGATCCTCAGATCTCAGCCTCCTGAGTAGCTACAGGTGTGAGCCACTAGCATCTGGCTAGATATGTTTATCAGACACCCACTTGTAGACATTCTGAAGGGATAAACAATTAGTAGGATAAAAATGCTTGCCTTTTAGTAAAGAGGATCCCATATGCCTTATGCTAGATGGGACCTGAATTGCTTTCATTGAATCCTTCAGCAATCCTACAAACTCAGGTAAAATGATCCCTGTTTTAACAGACGAGGAAACTGAGACTCACAAAGCGTTAGCAGAATCACACAGCTAACAAGTTCACAAAAGCAGCACATGTCACTCTGGCTCTCTGCTGTGGGACAGTCAGAGCAGACTGTGCCAAAGTACTCCACGGTGTGTGCTGAGAACCGCCACAGAGAGTTCAGGAAAGAGCCGTTGGAGTGGGGCTGGGATTTCCTCAGGGAGAGTTCTAGAACAGGTTGGCTTGATCTATGTTATGGAGGCAGGGAGGTCAAGGCCTGGAGATCAGCCCAGATCACATCATCCCTGAGACCAGCATTTCTCTGAGCTTGATTCAGCATCCTGAGGGCTCTTCCAGAGCTCTGCAGTCAACACTACTTTTATAATAGGACTCCTCTGTCCTTGTCATCTCACTGTGTTGCTATTAACAGCCATATTATAAAAATAATTATGGTAAACCTGCTGGAAGCTCAGCTCTAATTTGTCACTAAAAACAATAACATAAAGTAACTTCTCTAACATGATTTGAGCATATCTTTGAGGAAGCAATTAGAGTTAATTTAATTAAATTTTGACCTTGGAGCATACATCTTCAGTATTCTGTACAGAAAGTATACATGAAACATTTCTGCTTGATTTTATAAAGAAAGAATTTTTTCTTAAGAACCACTTCTGCAGCTGCCATGGTGCTGTTATTCTATTCAGGAGACTAAGGAAGAAGACTGAGCGTTTGAGGTCTGTCTGGCTACATAAAGAGACCCTGTCTCAAATAATAATTATGAAGAATATGATGGTGGCCACCAAAAAGAAAAAGAAGAAGCCAGGTACCAATAGATCCTGTTATTTTAATCCTAGCTATTTGGGAGGCTGAGAACAGGAGGATTGAGGTTCAAAGCCAACCTGAGCAAAACATTTACAAGACCCTCACCTCAACTAACAGCTGAGCATGATGGCATGCACCTCTATTCTAAGCTATGTGGAAGGCTGAGATTGTTCCAGAAGGACCAAAGAGTTCCAGGCCAGCCAGAGCATAAAAATCCACAGGACTCCATCCCAACAGAAAGAAGCTGGGCAGGGCTGGGAAGGTGGCTCAGTGGTAGAGCACTTGCCTTGCAGGCATAAGGCCCTGGGTTCGATTCCTCAGCACCACATAAGCAGAAAAAGCTGGAAGTGGTAGAGCGCTAGCCTTGAGCTGAAGAGCTGAGGCTCAGAGTTCAGGCTCCAGGACCAACAAAAGATGACATGCACCTGTCATCTTAGTTATGCATTAAAACTTTAAAAAGGCAACCCATAGTCCAGGTACAAGCCCAGGCAGGAAACAAGACCTTATCTCAAAAAAAAAAATTAGAAATGGAGGTGTGGCTCAGTGGTAAAGCACCTGCCTAATAATTATGCATAAGGCCCTGAGTTCAAACAGCACTGCCAAAAAGAGAACAAAGAGACAGTTGCAGTTATGAGCCAAAATAGCCATCTTTTTCAAGGACCAACTTTTTTACTTGAAAGAACAACAGACAACTTATAGTTGTTCAGATCTGAGAAATTGGCAAATCCTTCTTCAAGAATGAGCACAGCCACGTGCTTGAGCTCTGTGTGCTGTCATTTCACAAAAGAACCGATAGGATTTGTTGCCAGTGAATGATAAAAAGCTTTTAAGTACAAGCAGAATTGGGAGCTTGTCAGTTTCTCAATCCATAAGAGACTTTCCTGATGAGACTGGTGGTGATACTAATGTGATGTTTTGATACTACATAATGCAATGTGTCAATATCTGGAAGAGTTACAAACCTCAGGAAAGCACTATGCCCCTAATGAGAAGCAGAAGAGTGGAAAATCACACCCTCAGACCAGTGCATCAACAGAGCAACAGACCAATAAAAACACTAAAAGGTAGCTGGGTGCTGGTGGTTCAGACCTGTAATCCTGCCTACTCAGGAGACTAGATTCTGAGGATCATAGTTCAAAGCTAGCCTGGGCAGAAAAGATCACGAGACTCTTATCTCTAATTAACCACCAAAAAGCTGGAAGTGGAGTTGTGGCCAAGGTGGTAGAGTGCTAGCCTTGAGCAAAAAAGCTCAAGGATACCTCCCAGGCTCTGAGTTCAAAGCCCCAAGACTGACATAAAAACAAAAACAAAAACAAAACAGAAACTAACCCCCCTCCACTAAAATGCTGATATAGATTCCACAATGTAACGAACTGAAGTCTGAGAATTACCAATGGTCACATTTTAGTGTAGTCTCAAAGGTAGATATGTACAACAATCTGAAAAAACTATTCAAACACCTTTCTCCCTTTCCAACTACCTCATCTGTGTGAGGTCAGATTTTCAATCAAATGACATCATGACTGACAGCAGAATCAGAACTTTCAACCCTCTCATGTTCATTCAGCCATTACAGAGTTTCAAAAATGTAAAACAGTGTCATTTGTCACTAATTTTTTGCTTTTGACAGTTACTTTTATATAAAAATATGTTGACACATTATGGTTTTTCTTTTTTTTTTCTTTTTCTTTTTGGGTCCAGTCTGGGCGCTGTCCCTCAGCTCTTCAACTCAAGGCTAGCGCTCTACCACTTGAGCCACAGCGCCACTTCCGGCTTTTTTCTTTTTGCTTATGTGGTGCTGAGGAATCGAACCCAGGGCCTCTGGCATGCAAGGCAAGCACTCTACCACTGAGCCACCTTCCCAGCCCCACATTATGGTGTTTCTAGGCAGATAGTTGGCTACTTGAGCCAAGTTCCCTACACAATGGTTTTTTATTATCTTAAATAAAATAAATATTATTTCTAATATCGTAAATATCCATAAGTGTGAGGGAACGCTTTTTAGGGTGCTCTTTTCATTTCTTCTCCCCCTCCCATTTTCCTTTCTTTTTCATGTGATAATCCTGGGTCTTGAACTCAAGATCTAGGTGCTATTCCTGAGCATTTCTGTTCAAGGCTAGCACTCTTATCACTTGAGCCACAGCTCCATTTCAACTTTTTGTTGGCTAATTGGACATAAGAGTCTCACAAACTTTCCTATCCAGGCTGACTTCAAAGTGCAATGCTCAGATCTCAGCCTCCTGAGTAGCTAGGATTATAGGTATGAGCCCCTGGCACCAGGTAAGATCCTGTTTTTACGAGGGTGAAAGAGTTCTGTGAATAAAAAAAACTACACAATGATCTGCCATAGACCAGAGGTGCATCTATTTTTTCAGGGGTCAGAGAATATTTTAAGTATACCAATTTTTGTGCTCCATAAAAAAGTCTCTAAGGTTTCTACTCAACTTGGCCATTTAGTTCAAAAGCAGCACTGGACAATGTAGAAAGAATGACCATATCAGTATTCCAATAGCACTGTAGGTCTTCAATGGATTTGCTTTGGAGGCAGATCATATTGTTTGCAACTCTCTAACTTGGACATTCTGCTCTTGAGTCAGAGATGCTGGAATTCAGAATATGCTGGTTTTCTTTCAGAACTGTCAGAGGTGGATTTTGCACTCCAAAGTCTTTGACATGGATGGTTTGAGGTCTCATGTACTTACTCCTCCTCTGCTCATCACCTTCTTCAAGTCAGGTCTGCTCTAATGTCATCTCAGATAAATATTGCTTGATACCTAAACTATATTTCCCCCTCCCCCTTGTATTTCCATCTATAGGCTATATCATTTCCCTGACTTACTAGAGGACTTATTTATTACCCTATTTACTGTCTGTCTTTACCCAGTGGAATGTCAGCCCCTGTGCAAGTACAGGTTCAGTCAGTCTATTTTGTTCATTACAGTCACCAGCACCCACAACAGAGACCAGTAAAAAGCCAGTGTTGGATAAACAGACACACTATCTCTGATGTATAAAGGTGTCTTGATAAATCCAGCATTGATTGTTTAACCAGAAGAGGTATGCACTAGCTTCCTGGTACTTTTAAGCTCTGGGACCCCCTACTTGAAGCATTTCATACGATCAATTACATCATTTATGTGGATGAGCAAGCTTGAGTCACTTGGTGAAAATTAATAAAACTGATCTCACCTTTAAGTCATATTTCCTATATACAGATAAACGGTGGCTGAACACATTTCTTGTAACAATCACATAAATTTCAACTCCATCGACATTAAGCCGGTACATTCCCAAGAACTGGGGAAGAAGTGTGATCCCATGACATTCCACTATATACTGCATAGAAGAGAAAGAGAAAAAGCATCAATCAAAAGGTGTTCCTTTACATGAAAAACAAACTCATTCCCACTCGTTTACTATATTCACTAAAAACTTCCAGGTATTGGGAGGTTATTTACAGAAAATAACCATATTTGGACTGTTAACCTATCAGATCTGCGTCCACTGTGGATAGATTAGAAAATTCAATTCTATCGCCAGAGCTGTTATCTAACATTTCAAACTTATCTGTAAAAGTAAAAAAATATGTTGGCTTCCATTCAGTTCACTGGACAAATGCCAAGGCTGACATCATTGGCAAAGTCAGTTGCAAAAACACAACATGATCTCAAGTCTTTAATAACCATACTCCACAGTGCCACAAGGGGGAGCTACTTCTCCTTGAAAATTGATCTTTATAAAACAAGGGTTCCCAAACAGGGGTCTTTAAAATGGGAGACTAGAAGACTCCATGACTCTGTTATGTGTGTCAAATCTCCAGAAGAATGATTTCAATAAATGTCGTAATACTGTATTTACAAGAAATGCCGACAATAATACTTACCAAATGGCAATGGTTGCATTTTGGGTCATTTTGACCCTTAAAAAATTACATGGCTTGATTTTTTTTCCCTTTAAAGTATGAACATTTAATAAAAATAACCAGAATGTCCAATTAACCTCTATAGTGATGTCACTATAATAATTAGGTAGGTCGGGCAATATTTAATTATTTTGAATTAGAAAGCCTTTCTTCTTTTCTGTCTTGTTTGAGCCATGAGCACTTTCATTTGTTGGTTAATTTATTTACTTTTAGCATCAATTAGTGTGCAAAAGGTTCATTTTAGCCTGTCCATTCATGGAAACAGTACATTGTCATGGCCCCGTCCATCCTTCTCCCTCCTCTTCTTCCCAAACCAGTCTCATCAAGTGTCCCTATTCTGTTTTGACCCATGTACCTAGCTTATTTTGACCATATTCACTTTCCTTCTGTGTATCCATTGCCTGTCCTTTCCAACTACCTGCCCCACACACCCCAGTTCAGACACTTCTTAATGCTCTTCTTGTTAACTGTCCAAAGAGATTTCACCATGGCACCTCACATCTGCAAATGCCATGTTTTAATTAGTTTTGATCTATGTATGCATATGATCCTGTATGTATACATATATGTTTATATTTTAGGTCTTATATCCACATATGAGAGAGAACATGAAACATGTCCATGTGAACTTGGCTTACTTTGCACAATACGATGTTTTCCAGGCTCATCCCTGGAGAATGACTTAAGAGTGTCATAGTTCCATTCTTTTCTATGGCTGAATAGTATTTTTGTTATGTGTGTGTGTGTGTGTGTGTGTGTGTGTGTGTGTGTGTGTGTATTCACATATATGTCACATTCTTGATCCACTCATTGGTTGTATGGAATCCTGGTTATTTTCATAGCTTAAAGCCTTTAGTTTTTGTTTTGTTTTGTTTTAACCATTACAGAAAAGACCAACAGAATCAATGTCTGAATTTGATTTTAAGAGTTTGGACACATTTGTACATACATATACACATACATACATATATTTGAGTGTGTATGTTAGTACTGAGGCTTGAAATCAGAGCCTGGGCATTGTTCCTTAGCTTTTTCTCTTAAGGCTGATGCACTACCACTTGAGCCACAGCTCCATTTGTTGTTGTTGTTGTTTTGTTTTGTTTTGTTTTTTGCTGGTAATTGGAGCTAAAAGTCTCACAGACTTTCCTATCTGAGTTGGCTTTGTGTGATCCTCAGATCTCAGCCTCCTGGGTAGGTAGGCACCTGGCTATCATTAACAATATTTGAGTTACATTATTTTAATTTCCTCTGTTTTCTCAGCTTGTTATATAAAATCAGATGAGTGGAACACTTTCTAATTTTCAAAGTGTAATACACTGACGAGTTTTGCTAGCACAAAATAGCTGGCTGTTGTCCTTGATGGAAGAGAAAATGTCTCTCCCATGAACTAAGGAATAAAAAAATTTGATGTTTCCCCCTGTGGGGAAAGGTGGCCCAGTGGGTCCTAACACAGGCTCCTGGCATCAGTAGGTAGAGCGGGAGGGGGGGGGAGGGGGGAATGTATGAACCATGACAATATATGCAAGTGTCCTGGGCTGCCATTTACCTGCTATGGAATTTTGGGTAGGTACAAATCACTCTAAAATCTTTCTAAAAACTCAAGCTTCATAATCCCCACCTCAAAGGTGGCTCTGATGATAAAGAAGAGTAAATCAAAATCTCTCATGCAGCGAGTACCATGTTCCCAGCCACACTTCCTCCACCTACACAGCATGAGAATTTCCATTCAAAACTCTGTTGCGACATTGTAATGGTACACCTGTGCCTGTTTTATGCTCCAAACCAGCCCAGAGCCCCATCTTGGGGCCTGCACTGAGGGAGGGTCTCGGAGTGGTAGGTACGTGTTTCTATGTGTATGGAAAATAACTGAGGCCCACAGACAGGCCTCCACTCCAGGCACTGGCTGTTCAACTCCTCTGTGTGATGTTTGACTCAAAGTATTCTCATTTCTAGGAGTTCCTGCCTGTAGAAAATATCTGTTCACAATTTCTACAGAGCCGCACATAACCTGGCTCACTATCGATACTGACCGTGATTATGTTGACAAATGTCTCAGAGTACTGCACAGGAAATCATAGACAAGTGTTTTTCTTTCTTTTTCTTTTTCTCTTCCTTCTCTCTCTTCTCCTCTCCTTCCTTCCTTCCTTTTTCTTTTTGTTTGGGGGGGAGTCAGGAAAACATCTATAATGTAGCACTACAGATGTCCCACCTTTAAGATTAGATAAATCATTAAAAAAATGCTAGGTGCCAATGGCTCACAGCTGTAATCCTAGTTATTCAAGAGGCTGAGTTCTGACCATCAAGGTTTGAAGCCAGCTCAGGCTAGAAAGTTTGTGAGACTCTTATCTCCAAATTAACCACCAACAAGCTGGAATTGGAGCTGTAGCTCAAGTGGTAGAGCGCTAGCCTTGTGTGAAAAAGCTAAGGGAGAATGCCCAGGCCCTTCGTCAAGCTCAAGCACAGACATAAAAAACAAAACAACAAAACAAAACAAGAAAACCAAACCAAAATAAAAACCAAAACCAAAATTGATCTCCATTGATTCCATCAGAACATGTCCACATGCACTTATTTTTGAAGGTTTGGCTCACCTTATGGGTTCTTTATTGAACATTAGAAAAATATACATTAAATCACCTTCAGATTCCTGAATATATAAATCTATACAATACTACAAATCACATCAAAGCATAATTATCAGATTATTTTAGTATTGCCAAGTCACAGTTGGCGTCAAAGGTTTAGAAAGTATTCAGGAGTCACGATTTTTAACAGAAGAGAAACTTCTACCCATTGGCTGGATTTCTGGTTTGGGGCACTGGGAAAAGGACACAGCATTCCTTTTTTGGCAGAGAACGCTGCATTGGGTTGGTGAGTATCACGATTTGGGAGCATTGCGTTTTATTAGCAGGAGATGCTACACTACGCACATACTGAAGCCAAGAGGAAGTTAGATTCTTCCCAGGCTGGCCCAGATAATGCTATACACCAATTCTCAACACCAAGATTGCAAATTGGTGGCGATCACTTTAACTGGGTTCTTGGCATGGCCTAGTCTCATTACGCTGCTGGGAACCCTCTTGGGCTGTCTCTGTTCACTAGTTGCACAATCTTGGGTGAGTTATTCAAGACTTTTGTGTTCTTCTGCATTTTGAAAAGTAGAGGAATAACAATACTGAATGCACAGAGCTTCTATGATGGTTAGATTAATTGTAAGATTCTTAGAGCGTGAACATAAAAAGTATTCTAGAAGTGTTAGATTCATTTAAGAAATGCTTATTGGGCATCTCATTATATACCTAGCACTATGAACAAGGTCAACAAACCAACTTGGAAATTTCCCAACTCCCCTAAGTGGATATAAACTTGCAAAACTGTCAACAATTATTTTATTTTATTTGAATTAATTAGTGTGTGTGTGTGTGTGTGTGTGTGTGTGCACGCGCGTGCGCACACGTGCACTAGTACTGAAGCTTAAACACAGAGCCTATGTGCTGTTCTTTAGCTTTTATGCTCAAGGCTGGTACTCTACCACTTCAGCCATAGTTCCACTTACAACCTTTGGATGATTAAGATAAAAGTCTTAATCTTTCTGGCCTGAGCTGGCTTCCAACCTTGATCCTTAGATCTCAGCCTCCTGAGTAGCTAGAATTACAGGTGTGAACCACTGGTACCTGGTTAATTTTTGCACTTAGAACAAATGTGTGTGTGTGTGTGTGTGTGTGTGTGTGTGTGTGTGTGTGTGTATGCCAGTCCTGGGGCTTGAACTCAGGACTTGGGCTGAGTTCAAGCTGTCCCTGAGCTTTTTGGCTCAAGGCTAGCGTTTTAATCACTGGAGCCACAGGTCCACTTCCGGCTTTTTGGTGGTGATCCTCAGATCTCGGCCTCCTGAGTAAGCTAGGTTTACAGGTGTGAGCTCTGGTGCCTGGCAATTCTTTCTTTCTTTCTTTTTTCTTTCTTTCTCTCTCTCTCTTTCTTTCTTTCTTTGTTAAGCACAGTTCATTCTTGTTTTTCACAGCTGGGCTCCACAGGTCACCTTCCTGGATTATTTATCATGTAGTCACTTCTGTTTTTTTTTTCTGAGTGCTTTCAGAAACATACATGTACTGATAACATCTGATCTGTACCTAGGGTTTCCAACACTAATAGTTGTTACTGTTTTCTGTCTTCTTTTCAAAAAAACAAAAATCTACACACAAATGACACCACAGCAACAATGAAGGCAATTTTTTCTCTTCCTTTGTTTTTCTTTTTCTGGAATAACTACAGGCTTGTTAGAACCATGATGCACTGATAAGGTGACATCCTGGAAACAGACTTATAAAATATAACATCCACAGGCTCTGGGTTCCCTTTGCTCTAAGGCAGTCACCAAGAATAACAAGCATTATGAATCCCCCATTTGTTGTTCTTC